TTCGAGTAAATAATTACTCCTTAGCAAATTTTCACTTAGATCAAGTAAATATGTTACCAGATCCGAGTAAAAATTTGCTAAGGAGTAATTATTTGCTTGAATCTAGCACATTTTTTTGTGTACAGAAGTTCGGTTCTTAGGTTGTTTGTCAGGGTCAGCGATAGACGACGGGACAATTCTGAACCAATCTCGAATATTATTGTCGACGAAAGAGCGAGAAATACCAAGAAAGTGAAACGTAGTTAGCGAGAAGATTTTATTTATTGTGCGTGAGGAGCGAAGAACAAAGTAGCGAAGCGAAGAGTATCGCCCATAGCTTGATTAACGGCATGCACCTTCCGCATGCGTGCACAAGGCTGTATATATTTATTTATCGGTGATGCCATGGCACGAGCGGTATTTCATCTCACGAATTAATCCGTCGCGGCAAAAAGAGCACGTAGACGTCACCTTTTCTTCCCTTCCGCGGGAGATTCAGGAAAGATAAATCAGGAAGATAAATTCCGATAAGCGCTACCTTGTCGAACATTTTTAAGCGTTACAACAAAGTGCACGCATCCCCCGTTAATGTGCGTGCATGCACGCGCGTTCTGATGCAAAGTGCGGTTTAATTACGGCATGATATGCGGTATATCCGCTTCCAGAGGATAATTGACGCTACATCAATAATACGCGCCGTTTATACAAGCGTGTGCTCACTTAATGCTCTTGTACGATATATCGATTAACTTTATTCATTATTTATGAGCTGTTTATAATCAATTACTTATCGGGAAATTCGTCAAGCATACTGCCAGGCTTCGTAATACCTCGCCTACGTAGTGTATTTCTAATACGTTAACACGCAACTAATTCAACAAATAATTCCCAATTATTGCACAACCGCGATGAGTCCTCCCGTCATTTTAATTGTTGTCGTTGTAACTCGAATATTTTTACATCCTAATACTCAGGTACGTAGTATTTGAATACTCAAAGTCTCGGGTATTACGCAGATATCGAGATGGATCGTCCAAACTTGCGAATCTCACCCAAATACTCGGGTACTACTCAAATACTCAGGTAGTGTTTGGATACTCAAACTTATGAGCTCCACTTAAATACCTAAATAATACTCGAGTGTAATACCCAAACTTCCAGGCACTACCGAGTATCCGGGTAGCAAGCAGTTATGGATTTGCAACGCATTCGTTCGTTACTCGTCAGACTCATTGGAATTATTAGTTAATGGTTAGAGTGAACTAATTGTTAGAAAAGATCGATTCAGGTCACGTCCGAAATAACCGGACGCTTAAGTACCCGGCCAATATCCGAAAGACACAGATACTCGGGCTATAATCGATACACCCGAGATACCCGGAATTGATACCGTTACTCTTAATTTCCCGTCGCCGACGAATCCGAGTTTTCTCCTTTCGTTTCCGATAGTGTGACGACATTTTACAAAGTCTTCGAGATGCTATACGGATTAATCGGCAACGTCGGTATCCGGTCAACCTGCTGCGACATATGCTAGCTTGGCTCACGCACCGATACGCGTACCTGCCCGGCATGCGTTTGCGCACCATATGTGTCGCCGATTACGTTCTGCCCGGCAACCCCACATGGCCTCTCACGAAATAGTTACGTGTGTGTGTGTATGTGTGTGCGAGTGTAAATTCTCTCCCTCGAACTTCCTTTTCTCGACTCGCCCACCCCGGGGCACAGAGAAGGTACCTGTGCACTACATATGACATATGCAAACCGGTGTCGACGTGCCGACACGTAAAAATCCATACTTTCGAACCGAACCTGCGTCGCGCGTGACAGCCGATGCACGTAGCAAGAGAGATCTTTCTTCTGCGTCCTTCTCTTCGTCAACTTCACGATGATCGATCGATCGTCCTGATCGCACAAAGTCCATCGTGAGTAATCGCGACGATTGACTCGATTTGAAACATCATGCTCTCTCTCTCTCTCTCTCTCTCTGTCGTGGATATGATTAACAATTGAAATATGAATAAAATATGAACGAGCCGCAAACTGTGTCATTATCCCTTTTACTTGAATACGTGTCGAACTGTTCACGGTATAACGTATAATCGACACAAATCAACGCCGGTGTATTATTATATCAACGTATTATCGGGCTAAACCGCGCTAAACGCCTCCGTTGTGAAGATAACGGGGGGAACAAAAGGGGCTCGGGAATTGTAACGACTGCACAGTGCATCCACGGTCCATACCTCATCCGGCCAACCAGAAAGCCCCTAATCTCTATGATCGCGCGCGGGACAATGATCCGAGCAATCTAGCATCTAAAACCGCGCCCGAGGCGCGAGACGACTGCAACGCGCCTCGGACCGCGGTTGCATCGCAGCGGAGGCTCGGGAGGATTGACTCGGACGAACGCGGCATCGCTCATCTCACCATTCGGCACGGTAATTAATTCCACGGTAATTAGCGGCGTAGTGTTCAGCCGCGAGAGCGGAGAATGGGGATATCGGAGTGAAGCTACCTCGAAAGGGAGAGAGGGGGAGAGAATATAATTACGGAATAAATTCCGACTGGTTCAACCGAGTTTCAAGGTAATAAGACCGTCGCGCTTTTTATCTCGCGCCGACTGAACACGTCGATGCGCGAACGTTAGCGGGCGATACGGCGAGATAACAACGACAAGCGCCAAACCGACGTCAACGTCGATTTCCCGACGGTGCGATAGATATCACACGACGATCTTTGTGCGCCTCGCGCTCGCCACTTATCATCGCGCGCGCGCGCTCGAGCACTCCGAGACGCTTTCTCTCTCTCTCTTTCGCGCCTCCTGAACCGTGAACCCTTATCGTGAGGCATACTCGAGGCTCGCTTCCATTATCTATCCAAACCGTCGGATGTCGCTCTACCCGACGTTTATTTATCGCGTGGAAATGTCCGGCGGGTCCCCGCCGCCCTACAGTGCCCCCTCGCGCGTCGCCTTTTCGACAAGGAGAAAGACAGAGCCATAAAAAGAGACGGGAAGAACTGCCAGGATCAAGAGGAGAAAAAAGAAACGGGGAGCATATACCTGTTCCACGCGCGAGCACGCATCGCACAAACACGAGTGCGCGCGCGCACACACATGTGCGAGCGAGCGTACGCATCCCCCCCTCCCCCCTCCACACAAGCGCCCTTAAGCACGAGACTCGACCAAGCACGCGTGCGTCCTCATACTCGCTCGCTCGCGCGCTCGCGTACGCACGCACGCACGCAACACGCACGCGTACGCTCCGGCCGGTGAGGATAAAACCGGACGAATGGAGGGGAAGACCCGGTGGATGGGAGTAGGCGCGCGCCACAAACGCGAGGAAGGGAGGACGGCTCGCGTCTTTTCCCCTTCCCCTTGATCGTCATACGCGTTTTCTCGGGCTAGTGATGGCAGCGAGCGCGCGATATCGTCCTTTTCCACCGATAACTTCCCTTCGGATCAGGCCGCTCCGCGATAAGGATAACTGGCAATTCGGCGTGTTTAAAGGCTTGACGTCCTTCGGGGATATCGATATCTATCTATGTAGTTGTGTCCCCCCCTCCCCCCCCCTCTTGATGTTATCTACTACCTTTCGCGTTATTACAGTTTTCTCGCAGTTTCACAAGGAGAGATTGGGTTTGTTACCGGCGTGTTCCAAGAGGACGGTTGACATTTTTGCAAGCCGCCGACCTGCGGCCGATAGTCGTTCGTCGAAGGGGACGTTCGACTGTTGCGCGTAACTACGATAATCTCTGCGGTGTTTACAGCGCGTGCCGTATCACCGAGATACACGTTCCGCAATCGTGCCCATCGCTATACTCCTCTGCCGTCGCGCAGCTTCTCCCCACCGGCCCTCTCGGATACACGTACGTTCCGTGCCACCGGGCTCCCTTACCCTCCTCCGATACCTCTTCGTCTTCTGCACAGCTTCTCTCCAGCCGCAGAGACCTCTCCATCTCCTCCCACTCCCTGTTCCTCTCATCGTTCCTCCTCTTCTTTTTCCACGGCTTCTGTCCTCGTCGTGCGCTCTGCACCCCGCTCTTTCGCTGTCTCTTTCCGTCGGCAGGCTCGGGCCCCCGAACCAGCTTTTCTTTCTCCCGGTAACTGTTCAAATTTCGATCCCCGAGACACCGCGAGACCGGTGGGGATGTGGACCCTTCGCATGTGCGCGCCAGTGTCTCTCAAATGAGCGGCGGCGGGCCCCGATTGAGCGGATAGACAAAATGGGGCCTCATCGATTTATCGGGCCATCCAATTTGCCGATTGGCTTGTCCTCTTACGAATGGATCGCGGCTGGATTCCCGTTCACGGCCGACGGTTCGCAGGAACGCTTCTCCGTGACTCGGTTCCCTGCATCACGTCTCCCGAAATGAGACCCTTTCGCTCGTCGGTTCGTCAACTACCTCGAATACGCGATAGACACCGTAATTGTAATCAACGACGGGTGTGCTCTTACAATGCCGATCGAGAGACGCGTAGTCGGGTTAGTAACGACGTACCAATACGAGAACGATCGAAGATGAGAATCTCGGGCAGCGTAGGGCCTTTGGGGCCGCAGTAGTGGGGAATCACGGGGGTATGAGGCGTTGCGGGCCGGTAGGACGGGGAAGGGGAGAAGACGAGGGTTTAGGACCCGGGATCGAGTACGAGGGCTCGTGGAGGGGATAGGCGCGTGCCCGCCCCAGCTATATAAGGCCCCGAACCCTCCTTAGCTAGGCATTTCGGGAGCCAGGACCGTACCATCAGCATCGAGGGTGCGGTTTTGTATCACACTTCCCACGCTTCTCTTTAACGTTCGGTCGAGTAAATCTCACACATACGCACATTTTGTCCGTTTTTTAAATCTTCACGATCGCGCGAGTACTGCGAGAGGTGTAGTTAACGAGGTTGCATCGGGCCCACCTCGACGTGAGGAGGTTTTCCATCGGTATATCGAGCAGCGGAGTCCACCAAGGTCGCCTGGCACGCGCTGCTACAACTTCTGCTCCCGCGTGGTGGGGGGGGTTCGGGCCAGACCTTAATGGGGCTCAAGGAGGAGAGCGTCCTACCCATCATGCTGAGCGTGCAACAGCAACATCACCACCACGGCCTTCACGGCACCTCGAGCGCGCAGACCCATCGCGGCAACGTGATTGTCTCCACCAATAGCATGCCGACCAGCAACAACAATAGCGGCACTCTGCAGCACGGATGCAAGCGATCGAAAATCTACGGGCAGCCCACCGGTCCGTACAGCACGGTGCCGCATCAGCCCGCCTCGGTGGCCAGGCGAAACGCGCGCGAACGTAACAGAGTGAAGCAGGTGAACAACGGATTCGCCACCCTGAGACAACATATACCGCAGAGCGTGGCGCAGTCACTTGGAAGTAGTACGACCGGGACTCACGGTGGTTCCCGTGCCGGCAGCAAGAAGCTGTCGAAAGTGGAGACCTTGAGAATGGCGGTGGAGTACATCAGGAGTCTCAAGCGTCTGCTGGAGGAGCACGACGGCACCAACGAGTCCAGCGGATCCTCACCGACTTCTTCGACGTCCTCCAACTCGCCCATGTGTGGTTCCGAAAACGGGGTCGATTCCGGCCACCATGCGGCGGAACTCCGACTACGTGGTAGCGTCACCGGGGAGATTCGTCATCACGACAGCCCGCACGGATCCGACTTGCACCGGCATCAACACCTCAGGCAGAACCCGAGCCCGACCTTCGTCCCTACGACGTGTTCGGAGGCGTCGAGTTCGCCAACGCCGAGCTTCGTCTCCGAGGCCTCGTCGGCCGGGAGCCAAGGCTACAGCACGCCGGGCACGCTTTACACGATGCATTCCGACAGTTACGACAATTACGAGCCGATGAGCCCGGAGGACGAGGTGTTGCTGGACGCCATCACCTGGTGGCAGCAGAGTCAGTGAAGACGTCTAACGTCGATTTCGTCGCGGGCCCTTCCTCCTCAAGGTTAGTGTCCTAATCTTATCGTTCTTGTAATTGTAATAACTCACGCCAAGCGCGATTCGTGATCACGGGTAGCGTCGTGTGCTTTAATTGTGAATGTCGAACTCAGCTCGCTGTACTCGCCCGGAAACTCTTTGCGACTCGGTCGGTTGCCGGTCTGTGCTTCTCGTCGTCCCGTCAATCGCAACTTCGTCCACCTACATAAGGGGGATCTCTTCACTATAGAAATCGTAACACATAACAACTGTTTGTTGCAAGAATTCGCTTTAGAATAATCACTTGAACGAGACCTGGTAACCGATCGGACGACCGTGAGTGCATTCGATAACCCGATCGAAAATTTCCCCGATCGGTTCACCCTCGATCCGCCAAAATGTTTCTCTTCTACCCGTCCTCGCCACCCTCGCCCGTTGACAACCGTAGATTTCATCCAAGGATGAATATCTCGCTGCTATGTTACCGCGGGGAAGCCTAAAGAAATTTCCGACTAGATTTGTGACCTTGCCCCCTCACAATGGCGCGCGCAAACCCTCGCTGAAACCCCGTCCATTCAAATCGCAGACTCCATTCAGAGGGGCACCGCGTATACATTCGAGGAGCGACGCTTTTGTGCCGCGATTTCTTTCACGGTGCGTTAACGCACATACGTGTGTACGTGAGTGTCGGTCCCTCTTCTACCGTTTTTTTTCCCCGGCCCTACCGCCCCTCCCTCCTCCCTGCCCCACCCCTCTCCGCCGCCCCTTCACTCTTCGGTGGCGTTTCAAGTCGGTCGATCTTCAGAGAGGACACTTTTTTTTTTCTCGGACGGATATGTACATTGTATAAAGTGAATTTTACGATGCAAATGGAGTTTAACAGCGACGAAATATGTGGATCTCCTTTTTTTGCATATTGGAAAACTGGAATATCGTTTGAATATCGTGTAACAATGATTGAATTTCTACGGTAAATCGCAACGTTGTGTGACGATTTCAAGTAACTGGTCGTTCATCGAGAGATTCTCCCGCTGCTAGAAAATATTCTCGAGCTTCTTTATAGGTTCCTGGTAATTTTTTCCTTTAATTAGTTTTCCCTCTTCCTTTTTAATTAAAAGAGAAAATGGAGAAGAACAAGTGCACGAGTACAACAGAAAATAATCGATCGTCTCGAAAGCCCGCGCGTTCGAATACGACTCTAATCTTGATGGACGTAACTTTCTCGTCAAATCCCTTCGGATATCTCAACGTGTCTTCCCTTATCCCCGTCTCTCACCTTTTCCCCGTCTCGCCGTCCCTCTCTATACACACATCGGCCTGTCCCACCTCTCCTTTTTATGAGGACGATTTCGTTTGCCGCGTTTAACCTGAATGCATCTTTCAGGATATTCCCGTCCCCCGTTTGTCAGTTTTTGAACCGGTACGATGCCCTCTACTCTCCTCTCTCCTCTCTATCTCTCCTCCCCAGTTTATTCCTCTCCCCCCTCCCTTCCCCTCTCACCTATCCTTCTCTCCCTCTTTCACTCACGAAGAGAGGGACGCCCTTCTAGCTAAAACCGCCCTTACCTGAAATCATCCCCTACTTCTTCCATCTCGTATACCTGCAGAACTCCTTTTTCATCATTCCCTACCGAGGAGAAACCCGTGATCTATTCGAGGGAATCGATATCACGCTGAAAGCTCGAGCCTCGAATCTCCGAAACGTCTGTGAGCCTTATCGAGATATAACGTAATCCATCTGTAAAATCTCGTTCAATGTTCGACGATTCGCTCGTTTAATAAAAAATCATCGTCTCGTCTATTACAACGATTTATCACGCTCGTCTGATAAATTCCTCTTCGCTTTCTGTTACAGCAACGAGTGCAGGGGCAGGATCGGGTCTAAAGCAAGTATGAATCGTACAGGCGAAACTAAGAACTACCGGAAGCAATTGCTGTGATCTAGTCATAGTATTTCTGTATTTATCATCTCCAGAGCGGATACATGGTCGATATACGAAATCCTGCGAAGAAAAAAAAATGTATTATCACTCTCTCTGTCTCAGAGCGACGTCCGTATCGATCGTCGAAGTCGTTCTCGATTCGCGTCGAGTTCCAAAGTACCTTGAAACGTGATTGAACCGTTATTAGGCGCGCCGCCGAAATGCCGCACATCGAACGCATTGCAATTCTAAACGCTGTGTTATTTTCTTGCTTTCGTAACTTATTTTAGCGCCGAAACACTTTCTCGTAATTCCGTCGGGGCCAAGAGCGAACGTGTCCTTGAAGATCGGGCGCGCCTGATCGGCAATTGATCTATTATTTATATAGAGCGTTCCACGACGAGCAGTACAGTCGGGAAAAAAGACGTCGAAGATCGCTCGAGTTCCGAGAACCGCGAACTTGCGTTGTTAATCTCCTCTTCTTCATAATTTGTCAGATTTCCCACTCGAACGGAGAATAACTCCTGGTGAAATCATTTACTTCGCGACTGTACCGAACGTTGCGCGACGATAAGCACGTACGTCTCGAGCGAATTCCTGTGACGGACGAACGAAACTGCCCGAGAAATCCGACGATGCGTTATTATTTCATAATTACTACGCGTAGCGTTTTATTTTATTATTTTTATTAAGATAAACTTTCTCTAAAATGATTGATAAGAGCCACCAAACGATCCCGAAGACCCGAGTGCTCGCGCACCACTCGAACTTGCGGGCATTATCTGGGTTAAACTCCTATCTACGTAAAATCGCGGGGTGGGCACACCCGCACACCCCCGATTCTTTATCGTATATAATTTAAGAAGCAATGTACAAATAATTATTAGTGCTGTCAATACTCGGCTAGCCGAGCGTATTGGGTACTACTACCTGAGTATCCAAGTATTGCGCATCTCTGTAAATAATCGACGACGACTCGTTAAATATATCAAATGATGTTACGAACAATTCGTTGAAATTGTTATCGAACCGTCCCCGACTTCCGTCCATCTTCCTCGCCCTTCCCGCAACGATTCGCGTGACGTATCTCGCTCGTATCATACTTGCATTAGTTTCTCTACGCAGCAAACTTGATCAGATCGTACGCGTTATACGGCCCCTGATCATTTCAAGCTAAAAATATGGATTGCCTCATTCATTTCGAGCTTTACGATAAGAGCGTATAAATGATGCCGCACACGGTCTCTCTGTGTCTCTTTATCTCTTACTCTCTCTCCTCGAACTGCCACATTTCGCACATTTGCCACTGTGTGTGTGTGTATTTTTAACTGAAACGCACCTTGTTTCGCTGTAAATTATGGACAATTACGTGCTTCCAATTCCGCAGGTGTGCGACAATTTTGTTTTATTTCGCGATTATAAATTACCATAAGCGGCTGCAAAAGAGAATACAACACCTGTCGTACACCTTTTACATATGCTTTGCGTCGGTTTTATTTTGGACATGTTATACTATTACGGATGCCTATTTCTCCAACATCTACGGGTACGTCTCGTAGGTCGGGGACAAAATACCGCGCGATATTCTCTTTCCGGTCGAGCTCGATGGTCCCTACAAGTGACTGCCTGTTCTTATCGTGTGTACATTTACATCGTAAAATTGTTACACCGTCGCCCACCTATGCCGTTATCTCAACGACTTCGTAATATGAAGTCCGTATCAATCGTCAAACACAGTTTTTTTTTTAATAAAAAATAATTCAAAGAAAGAATAGGAAAGAAGAAGGAAAGATAAAGAAAAGAGGAAAATAATATTTGTTATTGTAGCAGAAACCATCATTGCTATTGCATTTTAGTTGCAACAGCAAAAAGATTTAGTTGGCATAATCAAATTAGCGAATTAATCGTAATTAGGGCAACAACAGTTCTGGGTGTTGCCAGGATAAAAGATATTTTACTGAATGAGTCTATCCTTAAGTTAATTTTGTTAGAACAAAATAATGTTTTCCTACATTTACTAATTTGTTCTTACAGCAAAATAATTTGTAGATTCTGCAAAATAATCTAGCAAATGGCAATTAATACTCTCAACAAATCGTTTTGCCGTCCACATAATAATCGACAGATTTTGCTACGACAGCATAAAAAATTTACTGTGCGAGCAAATTATTTTTCTCTGTCGACGGAGAAAAGATCGTTCCTCTGTTTGAAAAAGAACAGAGTCGACGATACCGCGCGGTGCAGGGCGGAGCTGGTCCCGATTGGCCCTGTCAGTGTTCCTGTGGTTCCTCTTGAGTAAATAACATGAGAGAATCACAGTAATTTCTCTGTCGTGCGCCCCTTTCGGGGCTGCCTCGCGATTTTCGGAACCGCAAACGATTCAAAACGACTAAATCAGTGTGAAAGCTCGGATGCAATTGTGCGCCGCGATTGACTCGCAAAATGCGACGTGTCGGCATTCCGGCGCGGTGTCAAGCCGAAGCGTGAAAGACCAGTGTATACACTGAGAAAAATGCATCTAACAAACATAACAAAATTATTCACGAATGTACATAGCAAATTTATTTAGGGAAAATATTTCGTTTCCATTAAGGAAAGTTCATTTCATTATATATTAAATATCGTTCCATTGAAACAGAAAGAAATTAATTATTATTTCGTATTTTTCTAACATAATGTTGTACTTCTTTTAAATAATTCATTGCTTATGGCAATTTACTTTCAAACAGTTTATTGTTTGTAACGTTTGAATGAAAATACAAAAGAAATACTTCACATAAAGATATTATTTGAGAAACCAAACAGTCCTATTTGTCGAATCAAATATTTGTTGGTTCGCTTCGTTGCAAAAGACAAATTTCAATTAAAGAAATATTAAACCCAAAGAAGTGTTTCTCTCTGTGCACAAATACGAAAAACTTTTTCTCAGTGTACGATCGTTCGCCTGCGGTGCCTGTCGGTCGTCGAAAGTGCATCTCGGTGCGACGAACGGTGACCCGCGGTAATCCCCAATCCACTTCCCGGGCCGAAGCTCGCGGAAGAAGGAAAAAATTAAAAAGAGAT